CTTGAGAAGAAGATTTTCAAAGATTTTTCCTATATATTTCTATGTAAAAATTTGATTCCCCGTTGTGGCCCCGCCCTTCCCCCGGGGGTCATGATTTGAACAATTTAGAATCTACATTCCCCCAGGATGCTTCCACATAAGTTTCAGCTTTTCTGGCCTATTAGTTCTTGAGAAGCAGATTTTTTAATGACCCCACCCTATTTTCGTCTTTTCTTGATTATCTCCCCTTGTGATGGGACTTGGCCCCCTTTTTTTTAACAATTTAAATTCCCCTTCACCCAAGAATACTTTGTACTAAGTTTGGTCAAAATTGACCCAGTGGTTCTTGAGAAGAAGTCGAAAATGTGAAAAGTTTACAGACGGACAGACAGACGGACGGACGAACGGCCTTCGGCTCAAGTGAGCTAAAAATGAAAAAGTTAATTGACAAAAGGTCTTGAATATATCTAAATTTCGAATTTAGGACCACACCATGAGACTTCTTTCAATTGAAACAGACAAACTTACAACGTTGAAAATCATGTTACATCTTCGACGTTGCATAATAGTTAAAATATCGAAGAACCTTGACCGTTCACAAGAAGTCATTTGAAGGGTCTTTACTGTTTTTGAGCTTAATCCAAAACTTCAAAGGATCTAAAGACGTCTAAATACGACAAGATATATTGAAAGTTGAAGCCAAAAGGCAAGATAAATGGATGTTCGGGGATCAACAAGATGTTTAGACTTAAGCTCAGAAACGAATCTTAAAGTAGATCCATTTCTTGCTTGACTTGATCCATTTGTCAATATTTCGATGGAGACTAAACAAAACAACGGTGCTGAAGCACTAAAGTTATCTCAGCTAAATATTCTCTTTTACGTACACTACTACCTCTTACTCTTTGAAGAACGTTTTGAAAAACATTTCATGTTCAAACATTTCATGTTCAAAGACAAGGTATTTTGTCTCATTTTTGATGTTATTTTCAACTTTTCCAGAGCATAATAATATTTTGAAAGCTTTTGTTTTGCATATGTTTTACACAAATTCTTAAACGTATGATTCGTATTCAAATTACCGGTATCTTTCAGTGACACGATTTATAATGAATAATTATCAAATTAGAAAACAATAACTCTTCTCAGTAGAATACAAAAATACAGTCCTGCTTAGAACTAGATTGCTAGTCCAAGAGGTCCAGAATTCTAAACATCTCGTGAAATGCCATTGCTCATTCCACTCTGTTTCCTATTCGCCCCCTCGAACAGAAACGTTTTTTAAAGAATAAATGAATTTTCTCTATTGCTTTAACACAGAACCGACCTAACTCTAGAACCCCTGACTCTGGGCTGTGAAGTCTAGAATTTTGCAAGAGCATGTTCTATGTATGTACAATTTCTAAAACGAGGTAAATTATTGTCAAGCAAGTTGATGAAACAAAAATCAGCAGTCTAGTTTAAAGCAATATGAGCTGCATTTCTGAGAAATTATTTTGCTGTTAAAATGTGTTACCGGTATTATGAGTAATTTTTATGTAATTTAGAGCCTTATGATGAATAAAACTAAAATAAAAAATTAAATTGTTTCAGAAGAAATATTTCTGTTCAATCGAATATATAGCATTATATAAGAAATCAATAATGTACAGGACGACAATAATGTCAATTTGCTTCAATTTAAGCTTATAAAACGTTCTTCCATCGCAAATATGAAAAACAGAAGTTTATAAATGTTCTATTTTTCTGTCATTGAAATAATTGATTACAAATTTGCAACAAAATTTTCCCATGTCAAACTTGCAGCTCATATTGCTTTAAAGTCATCATTTCGGAAGTTCTGTGGTCGACGCAATGATCTTATCAGCAAATACATCATTGAGTCAAATACTGGCTGAGGTTTTTCATACTAATTGCATTATTTAAACACTGAGTTGTCGGAGAATTTTGCCGTTATTTCCCGATCATGACAAGGAGCACACGGCGGGTGTGAACGGTCGGCAGGGAGTGCTCACTCCTCCATGGCACCCAATCCCACCTCTGATGTTTTGGAGGTCCGTATTTGCTCTGCTCCTATTTTGTATTGTTTAATGGACTTTTGAGCTGGAATACTGTTCCTTATCTCCAAATATTTCATTGGAAGAGGCACACTTGCATATCATATGTATTCTTATAAGAAACATAGAGAAAAGACACTTACTTGGAAAGTAAAAAAGTTTCTTGTAACCGAGGTTCCTTATACATATAAACGAGTTCTTTATAACATAGTTTAACGTTATGTCCTTAGTTTATCTGTTTTTAAAAAAAACTTGAAGCAGGTAATTTTTCAAAGAAAAAACACCCATCAATTTATTATCAATAAAGCCCCACTATAACGCAAAACATGCACCATGAAATTCCCAGATCAGGAATAGACAACAATGCTCATCATAAATATACACTGTGTTTGCTTAATACCAAAGAAAAAAGATATTAAAAGAAATAATTCATTTTATCTATATATTCAACAAAGTCCCGCTATAGCACAAGAAGCAGTGATCCCGTGGTCATGAATTTCATAATTTTGGTAAGGACTTAATGCTTATAACAATCAGCACAAGAGAATAAAAACAAAAGCAAAAAAATGCATTTCACTTGAAAATCATACCTCTCCCGATCTCTAAACCCCCCAAATGTTCACAATTTTGGAATAAACATCCTTGTATTTCATTACCATGAACATCGTATTGTATACTCCCCGTCAATGAAAACGCAACACCCTATTTTTCGGGTGACAATTATATACGGGTTATAACTATGTACCAAAAAAAATAGGACATCTTTTACTTTACCAAATCAGTTATTTAACGGTTGAATTAATTTCTCTCCATTAACGGAAGTTGCTTTTTAGCCATTTTAACAGAATTCAAAATTTTGCATTTTTAATAAAATTTTAACAATATTTTGGGTTTTCAAAGTTTTGAAGCTGTTAACCATAAGCATTGTACTAAAAGGCCGGGATGAAATCCTTCTTTCTATACCAAAGCAATTGTGATGTGATGCCTATATTTCCTCAAAATGACTGAAATCAAGAAGGGGGGACGTTTTAAGAGTTATGTGTTACCTTCTAAAGTTTAACGATAACATAAAAAATGAATATATATCTTTAAAAAGTAAATTTACAAAACATGAATACTCAATTTAAACATTAAATGGTTTTTTGTTTAATCTTGGAAAGAAACAAATACCGGGTAAATCTTGAAACATCCCCCCTTCCGACCATTTCATTAAAACGTGCTAGTCCGCCATTTACAAGAAATCCAGCCAGATTTCTACCAAGCATTAGGTTTATTGACATCTTAATCTGAGCGAAAATAATATTCTTTGGCATTTTTAAAAGCATGTTTTTCCGATAGTGCGGTCGAATTTTCTCTAATTTGGCTTATTGTAGCAACTTTTTGACTTCCGGTGAAGAAACTTTCATTTATGCTTTTGAAACACATGGACCTGATGAGTAGTTATATTGTGTACATTTGCATCTGCACTCTTTTTTTTCTTAATTTTGAGAATTTTTAGCATTAACAATGAAAATCAATCATTTTGAGGAAATATAGGCATCACTTCCGGTAAAGAAAGAAAATTTTTTTTCCCCGCGTTTTAGTACAATACTTATGATTAACAGCTACAAAACCTCGAAAACCCAAAATATTATTAAATTTTTTATTCAAATTGCAAAATTTTGATTTCTGTAAAGAGGGCTAGAAAGCAACTTCCGGTTGTGGAAAGAAATTCATTCAACCGTTAAATAATTGATTTGGCAAAGTAAAAGTTGTCCTAACTTTTTTGGTACATAGTTATAACTCGAATATAATTTTCAACATCAAAATATGGTGTTGCGTTTCCATTGACGGTGAGTATAGGTTAATACTCAGGAGCAAAAGATTTTTTCCCCAAAGAATAAATGCATTTTTACTTCCAGTATATAGTCATTAAAGCCTCCTTTAAAGTCGGAACCCCTGACTCAAAGACCTATGTTTATAGTTTTGGATCAATCGTAACTACTCGGCCATTTCCGTGACCACAAATAACGGTTAAGGAAAAGGGCGAGCGTGATCCGATTGAGTTTTGGATCAGACACCCTTGCTTATCGCTACTATTAACTTTGTTTGCCAAATACCCAGGGGCAGAAATTTTTTTCAAATCTCGCATTTTACAATATACATTTGAAATCAAATGATCCCCCAAACTGTAGAGCCTGGTCCAAACTCCAGAACCCTGGCCCTTGGGTCATAAATTTCATAATTTTGGTAGGTTTGATTCTTGTAACAATCATTCCACAAGCCCTATGTTGACCATACTTGCATGCATGATAACCACTAACAAGCTTGCTTCAGATGCTGGATCTGACCTTCACTTTCGGGACGAGTCTACCTATAAACCCTATGCTGAACAAACATACATCTAAGGATGCAATCTACCAAGCTTGCTTCGGATGCTGAATCTGACCTAAATTTTACAGATGAATGACCAAGTTTTTGGAGCAGCTTCATTCTAAACTAAACATTTGTCGTATCTTGACCAAACTTACATGGATGATATATCTAATGATGCACATTAAATTTACCTGAATTGCTCAATTTGATCTACCGGTACATTTTCCGGATGAGTGACCGGGTTCAAGGTTTTGTAGCAGATACATTACCAAGAAATTATAACGACTTTCTAAACCAAATTTGCTTGGATAATGCCTCAAGGGATGAACATTCTAAAACTTTAATTTCTTCAGATGCTGTATTCAAATAACGTTTTCTGGATGAGTGACAACTAGTCAGTTGTTGGATAAGTTCATTCCCAAGTAATGCAAGCCCTATCAGATCAATATTGCAAAAAATGTTACATCTTGGGATGTACACTACACGATTATTACATGTATGTAGGGCTTTGCCTAACACTTATAGACAGCAATCGTTGATGTTATTTCCAATTACCTATGTTTAAACTTTAAAATGTATTTATTAATTGTATATTCTTTGTGATACAGATGAAAAGAAATTTGAAATGGGTGGACCTTGGGGCGGAGCTGCGCTGTCCACCTTCCTAATCTGTTTGACGTACTATCAGGCAGAAAAATGTGTCACAGTAAGATTTCGAATTCCCTTGTCTTATTTTTTTTTAACTAATTTGTTCTTTATGGCCTCCAAATTTGTGCTTAATTTGTACCATTACTTAAGAAAGAGTTAATAAATTCAAATTTGCATTTTCCAGTAACATGAGTTCTTCAAAGACTCTTCTTGTTTTTTACTTTTAACAATTTCCTATTCATAAGTTCATTTTTTAAAAACAGTGTAACATAACGTCGTAAACCAATTCTTTGTATAAAATCATTTTTAAAACCAGAAACACAACCTGGAAAAGTGAGTCATGTATGCATATAATTAATTTATGTTTTTACCTTGAACGAAACCTTGTTACTTTCTTAGGGTGAGTGGAGTCTTTTCCGGATTCCAAAACTTAATATGGATTTCCGACAATGGCTCAACATGACAACTTCATTTTGGCTTTTGGTATGGTTCATGGTGCAGATATTTCTGTATACTGCACCAGTTGGAAGAAAAGGCCATGGACCACCACTAAAAGGAGGCAATAAATTGGAGTATCGCTTGAATGGTAATCATTTGATGCTTTTCATCGTAATAATTTAAAAGCTTAATGTACATGAATCCTGTTCTCAAAAACAATTGTACAACTTTATGTTCTTCACTGTACCTTTTCCCTGTGTCAGCTTTGTTTGTTTTGGACATGAATCTCCTTGGCCTCATCGTTGCCTTCTTCATTGGACTACCCATAAACACCCTGATCAAGAATATGCTGCATATGTTGACATTTGGAATCCTGGCATGTCTTCTGCTGAGTTGTATATTATACTTCCGGGCCGGGTATGTGGAAGACTGGAAGCTGAATCCAAATGCGAAAACAGGTACAACGCAACTTCTAAATGTCTTCAAAGCCTATATGCTATTGTGTTAAATGTTATCAACATATTTTTGTCTTTCGACAGGTCACATGTTTTACGATTGGTTCATGGGGAGAGAACTGAATCCTCGTTTTGGACAAGTTGATTTGAAGTACATCATGTTCCGCAGCGGCATCATTGGTTGGATGCTGGTGAACTTTGCCAACTTGATTCTGGCATTTTCAGAGAGTAAAATGTCTGTGCCATCGAACCTGGTTCTATTAACTTTAATTCAGCTGTTTTATGTACTGGATTACTTCTGGTTCGAAGAAGGGATTCTTGTCTCACGTGACATAGTACATGAAGGTCTTGGATTCAATATATCCATGCAGTTTCTTATGATTCCATTCACATTTTGTACCCAGACAAGATATGTGGCTACAACTGGATATTCATCGTCATGGATAATGCTTCTTACAATTTTTGTGATTTATGGTAAATATAGAAACTGAATAGTTCATAATGCTTACTAAAAATATTAGAGATCCATTTACAGAAAATTTTCCGATCTATCATTGAATCGTTTAAAAACATTCAAAAAGTGGGTACAAAATTATACTACAAAATATACTATGAAATATTCATCCAACTCTATTAATCCAACTCAAGTTTTTTTCAGAAGTGGGGTGACACATCCATCTGTCTGTTGTGTTATACAGTTACTAAATTGCATTCAAAAACATTAGTTACTGTATTTGATAAGTGCTAGAATAACTGTAAAATAGGCTATAGATTAGCCCGTGTATGCAGAATTTTTTTGTGGTTATTTTTCTAATCAAAAAACGATTATAACCACAAGATCCTGCACATTAAATAAATGAAGAAGAATGCCTTTGAAAAACATAAAACGGAATTAGTTTTTAAAAATCGCTTATTACTGACATACATTTTTGTCGAATTTTACCGCTATTATATTTAATGTTTTTCATTCCACAGCAACTGGATACTGGATTTACAGAACCAGCAATCTGGAGAAAAATAAATATCGACAGAATCCAGACGACCCTGCGTTAGCATGTTGGTATATCACTAAAACTACCAAACTATTCATTTGCTATCTAAAGATTTCTTGAGTTAATACTTTCAATAATTATTATGGGGTAAATTTCTTTTCATTTTTTGCAAGATCTGAAGACAATGCCAACACAATCTGGGAAACGACTGCTTATTTCTGGTTGGTGGGGAATGTGTAGACATCCAAATTACCTGGGGGATTTGTTAATATCTCTAAGTTACTCTTTATGTACCGGTAAGTATGAAAAAAACTTTATCTTTCCATTATAATTAATGAAACCGAAACAAATGAAAATATTACCACAGCAGGTTGCCACATCAAGTTTCTTTGAGTGCAGCTTTTAGATATTTGAATCAATGTGTGAACTTTAAGCTGAAATATTTTGAAAAGAAATGCATATTGTCTGTATTTGTATACAACAGGTTTCAGACATGTGGTGCCCTATATGTCTTTCTTCTTTCTACTACTGCTGCTGATTGACAGGGAAAAACGAGATAGTCAGGGATGTAAGGAGAAATATGGAGCAGACTGGGAAAAGTACTGCCAGATTGTTAGATACAGAATCATTCCATTTATATATTAAAATAAAGTCAAGTTAATGAAATTTTTATATACATGTACATTGTAAAACATTATTAAAAAAATTCTGTATTAATGATGATAAAATATAAAATATATGTACACTGAGTGGTCAAACTTTATCTTGAACTTCATGTTGCTGTTCAATTTTGAGAGATCCAAGAAAGATGAGCAAGGGATGCAATTCATTATAAGCATAAGGAAGTTTTACAAAATGCTTCATTGCTCATATCAGAAATGAATGCTCCTTGTTTTGGCTTAATTCATATCCACAGGCAATAATGAATACTTCCCTTAAATTACAACACATCAAATTCAAAATTTCAGTTTGATACCTTTTTTAAAATTTTTATTACAAACTATAACATTTTGATATGCCCTTGAACATTTATGCAATTTAATTACCCTCATACAAAAGTCACAGATTGTTCTTTAACTATTATGCATCCTCAGTAGTCTGATGTTATCGTTCAGTCAGCAGCAATAAATTAGAGTAATTTCATCAATCAATAAATTATATTTTATCTTGGTCCTTTAGCTGAATATCACACATACTAGGTTGTATTTTTCTGGAAAAGGGAAAATTATAAACACATTTACAATATTATATTTAGTCGTTCCTCATCGATGTAATGTCAGTTTTGTTCTGGTAATTCCAAAATATTAGTAGCATCAACTTTCTGGAATAGTTTTTCAGACCATGAATTATTTAAGAAGCAAAACATTAGCCATGTATGGAAATTGAATAAATTTCTATGATATTCTTCGTCCTGTATTGAAACAATGATATATGAATTTACTTAAAAATATTGACTTAAAAAAATTGAAGTATGTACACTTTGATATCATTTTATAAGTACTAGGTACTTCATACTGTTTTCTTCACAGCAAATCTATATTTTTTACCTTTTCATACATCCCCCAAACTTGTATTCTGACATCACACTAGCCCCGCCTCTTTCAGTTTTCCCATTAGTTCCTCTACTGATTCAACCTTCTGTCCAGCTTGTCTGACTGGTGGATCTTCTACACTAAGAACTTCTTGTCTAGGGGATGTGTCCACACCATAATCTGAGGGCTTCTTTGTGACTAAAGGCTTTTTCTTTGCTTTCTGAAGAAATATGAGACCTCAAAATATTAGTTGTTACAACTTTAAACCAAACCATAGTTCATAAAATATACACTTCTATTAAAGAAATAAAATTAGTTTCACTAAATTAAAATATATGTGTGGAATTAATTGTCACACCACACATAAGTTAAAATTACTGCAAAACTCGTTTAGTTTTAGCGAATTCACGGATATAGCGAACTTAACTTGTATCTACAGCTATATAAATTTAACGAATTCCTTATATGGATATAACGAATTACGAATATAGCGAAGTAATTTCATAGGTCCCAGTGACTTCGTTATAACCGAGTTTTACTGTACTGTAAATTCCTAATTAAATGTGAGGAATTTATTATCGCGTTATTCCATGAGAAGCATCACTCACAAATTAATTTTCTCGCTTTTATTTTTTATAATTGTCACAACCATGTATTATGCATGAATATTATATACATGTATGAGCTGTATCCACTGAAAGGGGTAAAAAAGATAAAACAGGACATTCTAGTCATCATATGTTAGACTAACTAAAAGAAACATTTTTGAATACCAAGGTAAAAACTGAACTCTCCTTGTCTTCTATTTAAAAAAATTACTAAACACCACCAATCTAGTGGAAACATGCAGGGAATTTAATAATTGTGATAGTAAATGATAAATCCTTGCACACAATTCTCCATATCAATTCAAAACACAAAAAAATATAGACCATGGCTTTTAAACCTTCATTTAGATATTTTTGTTCTCATTTTACAGCCAAATCACCACACCAATGAAGTTCAAAAAATATAGACCATGACTTTTAAACTTTCATTTAGATATTTTTGTTTTCATTTTACATACCATAATATTGGGAAGTGTAGCATATCTAGGTTCATTTAATCTTAAATCAGCTGTTAGGACAGCTGGTACTTTCACTTTAATAGTTTCCAGGCCTCCGTCAATTTCTCTTGTCACTGATAAATCACCATTTGACTTCTCAACTTTAGAAGCAAAGGCAGCCTGTAAAAATTACCAGGTAAATGAAATATTGGAAATCAATTTCAACAAATTTCCATATATACACATACAAATTGTTGACAACAGAAAAATATATACTGGTAAATGGTAAAATTGTCACATTTTTCATTCGTCTAAATTTTTTTTCTGATTCACACATACAATAGTTGTTTGAATCATATGCAACTAATAATCATTCTATATTATCCCTCCATATTCCCAAATGTTGGTTTTACTGTTCATTTTCACTAATGAATTGATGTACAGTAGACACATAGTGTTTTTAACACAATTAATATTTTGTACATTTGTATGTTCATATTCCTTTATCAGTATTTCAGTACACAAAGTTTTGTACCTGTGGCCAGTCTAATAAAGCTGCTGTCATTTGACCTGTCTGATTACAATCATCATCAATAGCCTGAAATATAAAGTAGGAAATATGACTTTAAACCAAGCCCATGCACCATTGGTTTCACTTAATTGTTATAATTACATGTAAAACTTGAAATAACTATAACAATTGATATTGAAGGCATTTAATTAAATTTATCACTACGTACCTGTTTACCTAGAATCACAAGATCAGCTTTTTCCTCTGTTGCAATCTTTGACAAAATTTTTGAGACATGAATTGGTTGCAGTGTTTCGTATTCTTTTGGCTCCGTTACAACATGAATAGCTCTGTCAACACCCATAGCAAGGGCTGTTCTTAGAGTTTCCTATTAAATATGAAATGCAACAATCTATAACTTAGTAAACAGCTTTAATCCTTCCAAAACATCAGTGTACTGATTTTAAAACTTCTTTACCTTGGTGTATTACATGTAATGAATCCCATGTATATTGTAGAGCAATGAACTCTTCAACTAGGTACTTACATTGAGTCATTGACAGTACTTTTTAACTTTTTCTTACCTGAATTTCACATTTCAGGCGAAATGGGAACACACCCATTGACATTGCCTGAAGTTCTGAGATCAAGAGATATTCCTTACTTTACACATGAAAAATTCATTTTCTTCACTTAATTTTAGAAACTACCAATGAAACGTTTAAGACAGAAGTTCATGGATTATTACTTGGCATTGCTGGGGACCACAAGACACTGCAACAATCTCTGATGCCAACTTTTTCTCTTTCATTCTGACTGCTTCCTCGACAGCAATTTCATCAAAAGGATTCATGCTATGTTTAACTCCTTCGGTAACTACGCCAGATTTATCTGGTTTCACTCGTACCTGTAAACATTGTAAGATTCATTACACTGTTTGAGGAAATTCGATATGAAACGTATAAAGGTTCTAAAAATTAAATGAAAATGAGAGAAGCATTAAATTTTCTGCTTTGAAGATACTTACTTTTACAGCATAATCAATTACACGTTTGCAGCCAACTAAAATTCTAAACCCTGACATTTTGCGGTCGTTGTTTTCTAGACTCCACGGTTGTTCACCTTTGGACTTGGGGGAGAAGAAAGTGGAGTCGATATATTCAAATTTAATAATGATTTTTTTAATCTTCTTGTATAAATAAATTTTTTACTTATACATTGCAGTACTTCTTTTAATCTAATAAAATAAATTTAACTATATAATTGAATTTATTTGCAATTCATAACAAGAAATATTGCAATTTACATAATTAATAGACGCTCCCTGATACTCTTTTTAACTCCATACACTAAAGATCTACTTTCACTTTCCAGTAAGCCACGGGCTTTCATTTTACCTTTCGACAATGTCACTGCTAACCAAAGTTTTGTTCTATCCTACACTGGGCTACAATATTTTAATGACTTATGTAACAAGCAGAAGATGGTATGATCGAATTGATGAGACAGTGATCCTTGGTGCACTTCCACTTAAAAGTTGGAACAAGATCGTAAGTTTAAACAATCAATCTAGTACACTGTAGTAGTAATCACGGATATGTAATTGTATCAAATAATTATGGATTTCCTGATTAGTTTGTCGATATTAATCGAAACTTAACAATATTAATGTTAAAGTAACTGGGCTTTGGGAGAACATTAGAATGCCAGTCATGCCATGGAATATACGGGTTAGGCAGGTAGACAGACATCTCGGCCCAATGACAACTCTGACAGGTCGGCCCAAAATCATTGACACCTCGGCCCATACCGAAGACAGCTCGGCCAAAGAAAAAAATTATTTTAATTTTTATTTTCTGTATATTCTATGGTAATGTAAATGTATGTATAATTAATCACTATATGTTTACTATAAATATACATAATTTCAGGGTTTTTTTTCCGAACAAACCACAGCTTAACATCGAATTACAATCCGTTGATTGGGAGGTATATAACAGGTCTATTTATTTATTGACTTTGTTGCTTACATTATACAACTCCTCATAGTCACCAGCCCATACAAGACAATTTACGACGAGTTTATTCTCATAAACTGTACATGTTCAGGATATTACAAATAAATATTTACAATAAAGCAATTAAGCATATGACACACGCTTGAGACTCCAAAGAATGCACCGCGTCTTCTTGTTTGTTTAATGATTAACACTTAATCAAGTTACTAATGGGTTGTCTTTTCTTTAATTACCTTCAATTTGCCGCCTTGGAAGATTGTTAATGTATCAAATTAATTTTCTTTTTCATTTCAAAGATATATAATAGCATAAATATTATATTTCTGTTTGGGCCGAGGTGTCTTTTATGTGAGCCGAGGTGTCTTCAAATTTGGGCCGAGCCGTTAGAGCCGAGGTGTCAATGGGCCGAGATATCGGCGGGCCGAGGTGTCGTTGGGCCGAGCAGTCTGACATTCGTTAGGCACGAGTCTTCAATTTGTGACTCTACAAGTAGAGTTATAAAGACACTCCCCTTTTAACTTTATGTTTCTCGCAGCGACTCGCTGGTCTAAAAAAATGGGATGGACGACCAGTATCCGGCCTGTCTTTATTTTTGTCAGAAGTGCTACAGTCCTGCAGCTAACCCCATTTTAAGAAATATTAAATTAATGTATACTCGTAATTAACTGGGCCAGACACTTTTTGTTGTTTATGTCTCTGATAAAAAGTAAACTAAATTTTTTTGCCATTTAAAGAAATTGAAATATTTTTATTCATCGTAAGAAATTAAGTTTTATAAATTTAATTTTTTAAAAATTTAAATCATGATTGTTAATTGCTCAACACTTCCTATTACTTTATCTATTGAAAAGCTTTATATTTAGTAATATTATTTACCAATTTTTTTTAAAAGAAAAATTACTTGTGATTCAATAGATGATAAATTTAGCTAAACTATACGCAGTGAGATTTAATTATTTTCAATGACAGTTATATTATATTATATTACTTTTTTTCTTCTAAATTGCCATATAAATGTATTTTAGTTGGTAGAAGAAGAAAAAGTTCGTGCTATTGTCTCCCTCACAGAAGACATTGAAACAGAGGGGCTAACAAACTCAGTCGAGGTAAGTCTGTCATTCTACATTTATATGCCAGTGATCTATTAATGAGAGTTATCGGACTTTGTGTATCAGCGATAATGGCTATGACGGTGTTTCAGCTTCAATGGGTAGAACAGTGTTCTAATATTAATACATAACTATAAATTTTTGAAGGGTTGGGTGGTTTTTAAGTTTATCACGTAAATTATAAACGAGGGAAGCTTGTATCTTTGGGTTCTCGACACTCCACTTCTTTAAAATTCCCCTCTGAATTGATATTTATTTCTTCTAGGAATGGGAAGCTATGGGTGTTGAAGTACTTAAACTACCTACCCCTGATTTTGTAGCCTCGCCCTCACAGGAATACACCAACAAAGGGGTGTCATTTATTCTGAAGCACAGACGAAAACAAAATAGTGTATATGTTCATTGCAAAGCTGGAAGAACTCGTAGTGCAACAATAGTGGCTTGCTACTTAATGAAGGTAAGTTCATGGTTTTGTCTTGGATTCATCTCGGAATTTTATGGACCTGTTCATATATTGTGACTCCTCTAATAAATCGACATACCTCTCTAATGAATGATTTCTTATTCAGAGTATTTTATTACCTATAACATATTATGATAATGTAAATTGTAATTTAATTGTTGCGCTTCCATTACGAAGTATATTGTAACCTGTTTTATAACATATTACGATTACTCAAATAAATCACATGGAAATTTATTTGTAAGTGGGTTAAAGTATTTATTGAACAAAACCAAGTTATTTCCAAAAGTAAATTGAGTTATAAGAAAAGCCTAGTCGTGTTTTTCTTTTGCATAACATTCATGGCCTAATTCACTTCTCATGCAAATGAGTATAAGAGAAGCCATTAAATGATAATGTGCGTTTTATACAGAGCTCTTAAAATCTGTAGGTCGCACACGGTCTTTCATATTAATTTCCATCTCTGAAATTATCTAATGAAATGATCTTTGCCTCGTTACTACATTCAGATCATGGAAATCTAAATCAGTCATTAATTTTTTATGTCTTGATTTTTTGGGTGATTTTATATTCTAACTTTTAAAAATAACTTTTGCACCCATTCTATCCATTGCATGTAGTATTTGTAGAAAAAAAAATATTTAAAGAAAGAATTTCCTTAGATGTTAAACGTACTGGTTGCGTAAAATGAAATTTTGAGACAGAGTACTAGTAATTACCGTAAATATTAATGTGGTTATTCTATTTAAAACTTAATGATATCATTTCTGCATGTGGAATCTCATCAAATTTCTTAGAATTAGACTTACAAAAGAGAAGTATTTGACAACGGATATAATTCGTTTAATTACATGTATCATTTCGTAAGATTAAAATTGAGAATTTTTCATACTGGTGATTAAAATAATTCTGCATGCCGTATCATATTAATTTTTTTTAATATGAAGAATTAGACCAAAGTATTTCTATTTTAACACCTTTATATTAAAACTAACATTTTTTTGGACATTTCTGTTTGTATTGTATTACTGACAGACAAAGATGAGCTGAACCTAGCAGTTCATATCGGCTGTCCTTGTCAGAGTTACTTCTCTTTATGTCACCAAATTAGATGGGATTTTTCAACTTGCCCAATTATTTGTCATCATGTGGTAATTCCTTGCATCCGTCTTCTGTTTTCTGTTTGCATAATAATACGGATACACAAAAATATGTTGAATGTTGATCTGACTGTCCATATCAAAGTTACTGCTCTTTAGCTCACCAGAGATGAAATTTTTCTACAGTCTTCATCTGGTAATTTTAGAATTTTAAAAACGCGTGCAAGGATGTTTTTTTTCTAAGCCCCTGGCAGTGAAGGGGAAGGGGAAGGGGTAGCAGGTGGGGAATAGTGAAATTAAATTTTAGGAACAAAAGTAATATACATTTTATTTATGAAAATAACTTCAGACTAAAAATACTGAAAACTGAAATATTCAAAAAGTTAATTTAACTAACAATAAAAAATGTGTATTTAATACTTATATTCATAAACACTAGTACATGTATATATTTGTTAGGAAGTCAAACCTGACTCAGCTTAGGGTAAGCATTATAGCCCACAGGCCTCTTGTTATACTTAAAATAAAGAACGATAAGAGCGGTAAGATATTTTTAGGCGTTGCATGCAAAATTGATGCAGTCGATACACATCAGTGAGATCAAAAGAACGCATTTATTTTTAGAACGTATACCGCCTTGTCTGGGCACAGTTAGCTGAAGGTAACCTTGAAAAATCATCGATTTTAACTCAGTCACTGAGACATGATATGTATCTCTGAGTTTAGTTCGATATAAAAATATAATTGGAACACAAAGTAATCGTTTATATTAAAAATTTAGTCAACGTTGTTTCTAATAATTTATGAATAATTTTTAAAATTAAGAATGCATGCTGGCGACATCGACATTTATAGCGATTGCGTAATCATAAATTGAGGCTGACATGGGGTTTTTGGAAAGGAAGCTTTAAAAAACAAAACTTACCAGTCAGTAGAATCTAGTAGTATTTTTGTCATGTTGTAAACTAATACTATGAATTTTCCGGGTGGCAGTAAATACAAAATTTACAACTTGTCATTATTTTAAAGGGGAATAATGGATTTATTTATGGATTAACTGTCAATTTTTTTTTTAAAACCAAAAATTTTAACTTTTACAATTCCTCCACGTGCTCCAAGCCCGCTTCTGTCTATATTTCTCTCGCGCCGCACGTGATTATTTACCACGCCTATCGACAAAAAATTGAACATCATTTGTTGATTAACAAACATTGGAAATGAAATATTAAGAATATAAAGTTCTTCAAAAGTAATGTAAACAATATTACTCACTAGAAATTTAAACTAAGCACTATATAATATGTAAAAATATTTGTTTTGTTGATGTGTGAAGTTTCATACCATTCGATTTAAGAGAAATTAATTAACTTCATTTTAAAATCAACATGTTTTGTACCCGCCAAGCACACTTAACGGCAATGTAATGTCAAAACACACAGTCAAGAATTTCTAAAAAAAAAAAAAAAAAAAATACAATCCCTAAATTTCATTAATATCTTCTTTTTTGCAAATTTATTTTTTAAGAATTGCTCTTGTTGTATAATTTTCATTGTAAGGTTTTAATTTATTTTATTACCTATGTTTCAAGGATAAAAACATGACACAGTTCCAACTTTTTCAAGTTTACATAACAAAGATTTTCTCATCTGATACAGAGCTCTACACAAATATTGCCTGGACTATTTGTACACACATGCACAACTCGCTTGTGGTGTATTTTCGTCTTTCCAAATTTTTGATAATCATTCCTGAGAAAACACTTGTTAAATAATTGTAAAAATTTTTGTCGTTTTCAAAATAAATTGTGTTTTCAACAAAGCAAATTAAAGCCATTATTTGGTGTACGAAATGTAACAATTCTTAATTTGAATTTCTAGGTTGTTTTTCCTCCATTTTACAGCAATACGTAGGACATTAAATAGTGCATTGTCTGTTTAAGGATTAATTTTTGCATTTTAAAAATTTTTTTGTTTATTACATTGATCATCGTGAAATACATGAATTTATTCATTCAATAAAAATGATATCCTGTCACAGTGTGAAAGGATATCAAAGTGATATCCTGTCACAGTGTGACGAATATCAGAAGTGCGGGAAAAATCTCGATTTCCCTTCCCTTAACGAAGATTTTTGTTAAAAAAAAAATCCTTGACATAATATAAGATAGATGAAAATAAATAAACCATTCTTACAGCGAATAAAACTGTCAAAATAACGAAAATTATGTTGCTAAATCCATGTTTACAGTGTTTTCACCTCACATAGATTATTTACCATGCCTATTACTGTACAAACCAGTAGATTTTTTTTCATGTAATTTTTTCCAAAATATATAGAGGATATTCAATGTTTTGTAGCTGAATATGGAATTAATTTCTCTCGTGAGACAGGATTTTTTAAAAATATTTTCACTCGTGCTTCGCACAAAGACATTGGAAATGTAAATATTAAGAATATATCATATATTTTGTTACACAAATATAATATATTATTTGGATAACATGTAAAATATGACAGTTGTCATTTTCGAACAGCCTATGTATAATATATTAAAAATCTGTATTTTTCATTATGATTATTACCGGGTAGTCATATTCATGTAGAAGGACTTATAGACAGTGTAGAAGACAGTGTAAATTTAAGTTTGTTGAAACTATGGTATTTTTTGGGGGGGGGGGGTGATGTGGGGCCATAGTATCTGATCTTAATTTATTAAGGAATATGTAAGGAAAAAATCTGTCATAGTGTCTCCAGTAAATATTGTGGCCCTTAGGCCTTTTTTTTTCGAAGGAAGGTAAGCCCACTGTTCACTGAAAATAGATATAATAAAAGATTGACTCAAACATTTTTTAAAAAAAACACCTACATACTGAAATGAACAAGAGGCCCACGGGCCTTATAGGTCACCTGAGTATCATGAAACAACTTTCCAAATATTGAATTTGGTTTGTGTTTTAAACCAGATGCCATGAAATTCATAAATTTGAAAGAAATGTCATTGCTTATCATAATTGTACTTTTAGAATGCTTACTCTGGTTACTTAATACCCAGAGTTAAATCAGAGTAAGAAAGAGAAAATGCTTTTTCACTTTATAACCAGTGGTGCACCCCACCCCACAGGAACCACTGACTCTGGGGCCACATATTTCAAAATTTTGGAAATTTTATCATAAGTTTTATTTCATCATAAATGGTTGATTAATACCACAGAGCAGATTTCAAAGCATTTATTTATTTTCAGACTATGTACTGTTAACCCCCCCCCCCTCCCGATACCCCTGACCCAGAGAACATGAAATTAATCATTTTGCTAGATGCACCTTTCTTCTTGCTAGATGCACCTTTCTTCATCATAAATATATGAACTAAGATCATTCGCATAATACCTAGGAGCAATGGAAAAGATTTTCAAAGAATTCATGCATTTTCACTATATATAATCATTAGAGCCCCACCCTAACACCAGAAACCCTGACCCAGGGGCCATGAAATTCACAGTTTTGGAAGAGGCATCCTTCCTCATCATAACTATGTACATGTACATAGTTCATTGGTTTAATACCCAGGAGCAGGGAAGATGTTTTTGAAGAAACAATGTATTTTCACTATATAGTCAATAAAGCCTCGCCCTAACATCACAACCCCCAACCCAGGGGGCACAAAATTCACAATTTTAGAAGAGACACTCTTGCTCATTATAACTATATACTTACTTAGTTTGTTTAATACCCAGGAGCAAAGAAGAAGATTTTTAAAGAATTCATGCATTTTCACTATATAATCAAAAGAGTTCCCTCCTTACACCAGAACCCCTGACCAGGGGCCATGGCATTCACAAATTTGGAAGAAGCATCTTTTTTTAATCATAACTATGTACTTGTTAGCTTGTTTAATGCCGAGGAGCAGAGAAGAAAATTTTTGAAGAATTAATGTGTTTTTTACTATACAATCAATAGAGCCCACCCTAACACCAGAATCCTGACCCTGGGGCCATGAAATTCACAATTATTGAAGAGGCACTCTTGGTCATCATAACTATTTCTGAGTTTGTTTATTTAATACCCAGGAGCAGAGAAGAAGATTTTCAAAGAAATAATGCACTTTTACTATATGATCTATATAGCCCCGCCCTAACACCAGAACCCCTGACCCAGGGGCCATGAATTTCACAATTTTGGTAGAGGACTCAATGCTGATTACAATCATTTCAATAGTTTAACTGCTTGATGTCCAGGAGTAAAGAAGATTTTTAAAGATTGCATTAATTTTAGTGGTTTTGGCCCTACCCCTCAGGCCCCAGGGGGGCAGGGATCATGAAATTCACAATTTTTGTTCTCCTTCACCCATAAATGCTGTATACCAAATTTAATTGAAATTGGTTCAGTAGTTCCAGAGAAGAAGTTAAAAATGTTCAAAAGTTTACGAACGACGTACGACGACGGACGAAAACAGATAGCAATAGGTCACCTGAGTTTAATCAGGTGACCTAAAATGTAATAAAATAAGTCGGCATCAGAAGAGCTTCACACTCGTCAGAGACTTCCTGCTTCACTATAAAAATTCAATGTTTCGACATGATGAATATCTTTTCGAATTTGTTTTTGCTGCAAGATCGATTATTTTATTTTCGTCATCAAAATTGAAACAGGTACAGATAAAAAGGCAGAGAAGAAATAGATCGCAGATAGGCAGGTTAGGATATTATATATTAAAATTGTTTGTTTTTTGAAATACAATCAGATGTCACAGATTGCGGAAAATGTCAGAGAAATATATTTTCCATGAAACGATAGGCACGTTGAAACAAAGCAGCTGGGTCTATATTATTTCTTGCGCTTACATGTACGTGCATTGAATTAATTCTAATTAGATTTTAAGTACATGCAAAACAGGTATTGAAAACCTGAATTTTTGAAACCAGTCAACTAATTTGGTGCCAACAATTATAACAGCAACTGTTTTCAAGATGCAAATATATGCAGTCACTTAGCAGATCAAAGTTATGCAGTTTGAACAATTTTGATTGTCAAATTGACAATTTCGGCTGTCAAATTCTTGATATGCCACTGATTTATTTCGTTTTTAACTTTTTTTGGAAGTGATATTTAGTTTTAAACAGTATGTCAGAGTATGATAAATTATATTGGGTCATTATAAAATTATTTATGCTCTTACATGCATACTTACTGGTAATCTACAGGTTATAAGATGAAGATAAATCTTATAATTCATTAAATTTTTAACTACATGTAATAAGACTTAAAGAAATTTTCAGAGAGAGAGAGAGAGAGAGAGAGTGTGTGTGTGTGAGAGTTCTGAATTTGTATTCCTGAATGATTTTAATAATCTTATAATCTTTATTACCAGTTTCTGAAAATGGAAAATCTTAAAGTACATGGATTGACGCAGAAGCATAAATCAGATCGCCCTATTGGATGGGCTTATACACAATGTCATATAAAATAAACCATCTTTAAAATGAAAAATTATAAATGACTCCCGGAACCGGGTAAACTATAGAATTCTTCCTTCTTTAGTAATAATTTAACAATGAATCAACGGCCAGGTAACTTCAATTTATGTACGGGGGAGGAATTGCCAAATGGCGGATTAATTTGATGCAAGAAAAAATATTTTAAAAATAATATTTATTGGTTTATTTATAGAGATTATTTTTTGTTTGGTTCGAAGGCATAAAGGCACACAAAATAACTTTGTTGTGACTAGAGTGCACTATCTTTTATAAGAGATGGGTTGCTTGGTCAATTTCTTAATTATTGATGATGCCTCCAGATTAATTGTGTAGCATTCTATACATGCAAACAATTTGCAAACAGGCAAGTCATAATGATATTTATAACGAAGTATCATCAAGAAGTTTAGATTCAAATTTGTTTAAATCATAAACACTTGTGACAGGGCGGGGCCACAATTGGCAATCAATGTTTAACATATAAAAACAATACAATTTTATTCAAAACCAGCAAACCCATTAACATATTTCAATGGAAGCATCCACAGGTAGGCCTAGTTAAGTTAATTTTTTTGCTAAAAATTTGACCCTTGGTCGTAGGAATAGGCGGCAATAGACAATCAAAGATTTACCCAGGAATTATGTGGTATCTTAAAAATAGTCTTCCCAATAATAGGAAAAAACAAATTTGGAAGTATTCTCATGTTGTTTAGATTTAAGTTTGCTTATTTACGTAGTAGGTCAGGGATACAATAGGCAATCAAAGCTTTACGAAAGAATGTAGGGAAAAAAATCTGCCTATGATGAACAAGGACCTAGTGAGCGTTGTGGTCCATGGGCGTATGCTTCTGAAATACTTATGCCAACACATATTTTTCATGATCTGACGTATTAGATTACACAATCATGAAGTAGGAGTTTAGTCCAAATAGTATCTCTTCACAGGTACATGTTTTACTACGACTTCTTCTGGCATGTTATTTGAAGATAATACAAATAAATAAATGACAAATGCTTCGTGGGCTATTTACGTCGAGTGATATTTTCAGGCTTAATTAAACAGGCAAAACATTTTGATATACCGTTGTTTATTTAAAGACATTTCTTTTTAAATGTTGAAAACATGTTAAGTTCAAGGATACTAGAAGTGTAATGTAAACCACTTTTATGATACTTCGTAGTTTTCAGGTAAAAATAACTGTTATCTTAGTAACCTTTTCGTCCCAAACTGGGTCATGACTGGTACTTTACTTGGTAATCTTAAAGGTCGGTAGGAAAAAATAATATTATGAAATATCTTTAGTAGATAAACAGAAATTTGTCCAAAATAATGATTGAAACGACACCCTTTTCCGATTTTCTTTTACCGATCTTACTCCCTTTTCCCTTGATGAAAGACAATTGTCGAACTTTCAAACTGATCATTCATTCATTCTCTCTCTGTCTCTCTCTCTCTCTGGATAGCCATCTCTAAGCACACAAGATAGACTAAATTAAAAAATATATATATATACCTTCGGAGGTATATTTCTATTTTTCTGACTTTATTCTGGAGTCAGAAAGACTGCTTTTCAATTATTTTAACCCCGTTTAACCTGAGATCAGAAAAAGACATGTGTTATCTTGTAAAATGGTTGTTAGACATACTGAATACACAGATTTTTTTAATGTCAAGTGTCATTAACCATTGGGTTTAACCTCTGACATAAAGAAAACTACTTAAGTTCTGACAGTTAGATTTCGGGTAATGACCAAGTACTTGCACTCCTTTTTTTCATCCAACCATCATGATATACTACCCCAAGAAAAAATCAGAAAGAACTTTATTCGGTAATACCCAATATTTGCCCCCCAAATCAAACTTTGATGGAGATATATTTAATTAAGTTCTTAAACAGGGGAGTATATGCTGACTTCAAAGCACTGAAAATTTTCAAAAGTAATGACGCAATATGTACGTAATGACGTCACAAACATGACGTAAATTTCAGTTTTTTATGAATCTTACAGGAAAATGTACATATTTCGTCGATATTTTGAGTAAAAGTCACCGAGCGCATGTGTGTTCAGGATCAATATTTTGATATAATGTGTAGAATGATAATATCAATGAAATATGTTAATATTGTTCCTGAACAAACTTGCGCCCTATAAATTTTAAAGCTAAAATTGTTGAAATTTTGTCCATTTTGTCCTCTTTCTGAAAAAGGATATAAAATCGGACTAGTTTGTGACGTCATAAAAACAAAAATTGTGAATACACTGCTTTGACACTATAATATTTTCTGTTAATTTATATTTCTCATACATTTTATTGAATTCAGCACATTTCAGGAAGTTTTCAAAATTTGACTTTTGTGGGGGCAAATATATGCAATATACCGCATATAGTTCTTTATATTTTCCTCTCTCTTATCTAAAACTTGATTGTAGCTTTTTAGTTTTCTTGTGTTTGTTTAATTTACTATTTGCACCAAAACATTCTGTCGAGTTATTTTTTATTTTTATTTACTGAGTGAATGTACATTTGATTTGCACCGGATAATAATAGAAATTGACCATTTACAAAAAATTAGACCACGCTGCATTTATATTAACACTTTGATACAAAACTTGTGAATGTCTTGCTCTTTTCGATTGATTTATAAATTCAAATTATTTTCTTCTAGGTGCATAAGTGGAAGCCTGAAGAAGCAGTGGCGTTTATACAGTCCAAAAGGCCCCACATCTGGCTTCGAGACACGCAGATGGACTCTATTAACATTTACTATGACAACCTAAAAAATCGCAAAATTTCCGGGGCATAACCAATTTGAATGCTTATATGATTATTATTCATTACTTTAATACATCTGTTAGGATTGTGATAAGACGGAAAAAATGTGCTTTCCCCCGCTGGATTTGCATGTTTGATTGCATATTGTCGGCACTATAGACGACATCCTGTGATACCCTGCAAAAGTGAGACGCTTCTTTGCCTATGATAATAAGTGATGGTAAAAAGCGATGCGATGCAATTTATGAAATTCATTTTCTTAAAAAATTTTTTTTCAAAAAATTGTGCATAATGCAAGCATAGACACCAGAAATTTCTCTGTGTTCAAGCTTCAGCAATATGAATCCAAGTTTATTGTGTGGAAAAGTTATGGTAAATGTATTAAACTTATAAACGTGATGACTTTAACTTTTCAATCGTCAACTTCCCTTACTTATGCAGCCATATACCTTTACCACCTGCATACGTGGTTTATATGTCCCATTTGATTCGATACGTAAGACAATGCTCTACATATGAACACTTTTTAAAAACAAGGTAGGTTATTGACAATCAAGTTGATGAAACAAGAATATAGATTGTCTCGTTTACAGTCATCATTCGAAAGTTCTATGGTTGATACAATGACCTTGATAGCAAATGCAATTTATCAGTAAATCAAATGCTACTGACGTTTACCAACTAATGTTAAGCCATTATATACACACTGGATTGTCGACGGTTTTTTCCGATCATGACAAGGAGCACATGGCGGGTGTGACCGGTCGGCAAGGGAGTTAAACCCTCCAATGCACTTGACCACCTCCCCCCGAATGTTTAGAGCTTTGTGTTTGCTCTGCCTCTGAGTTGTATTGTTTAATGAACGTTGGACTTTTAATCTTTAATACTGTTTGTTATCAGTTTTTTCAGGTCGTATGTATTGCGACCAATATTTTTTTTTTCGGAATTAAATGAATCAAAATTAAAGCAATCGTCTGACATCTTTTTTTTTTTTTTATTATTCAAAATGCATTGCTTATGTCATTTCTTCCTTGGGTTTTATTTTGACTGATATGTTTCATACAAAATTTTAGGCCTTTGTTTTTTTCTTACTGAATTTGACTAAGAATTGTTCCGTCTATCTGACTGATACCAAAGCTGACGACAGGTGTGACTACCCTGTGTACAGAGTATTCATGCTCCTCCCCCGATCCTCTGGACTTTCCAGGGGCCGTGTTTATGCCCTCGTCACCGATGTGTATTGATTAAAGATTGGTTTTACAGATCGGCCACTGTCACATTATCTTCACCCTTTGCGTTCAAATTAAAGATCTGAAATTCGTAAAAGGGTCATGTCCAAGAGAGAGAAAGAAAAATTGGTCAAATATTGAAAGTATCACCTACCTATGAAAATTTTATTAAAGTAAGTATTTTTTATAGATAGTAAGCTATTCGTCCTTTAACATTATTCCTTATTTCAAAATTCAGGTTAAACTTATTTGGTAAAATATGAGAAAACCATCATACTCAAGTGGTCTGCAAAAGCCATGCGCTTTTTGCATGTTTGTTTCTTTTTTATATCAAAGTATCACGAATAATTACAATAACAATCATATCGTGATGCGTAGCCAGAAAGATGAAAATGTTTCTATATATAATGGCCACCTTATTAACCCTTATGGCTATGTAATGATGATCCAGCAGGCGTCTTTCTGTTAATGTAAAGAAGGAAACGGGTAAATTTGGGTTCAAGGACACCCCCTGTCTCATTAATGGAAGAATCGGCATTTCAGAACAAATGCAACAGTTTACCTGACCCATCGGTGCAAGTAGGCTTTTTGGAGACACCGTATGATTTTACATAGTTGACCTTTTTCTCAGTTACCACCGGGCCATAGAGTAATCTTAAACAGCCAAAACATGGTTAAAGAGGATTAAAGATTTTTCAAAACAGGTTTTGTTTATGCAGGACAAGATAAAAAAAAATAAATTTGTGTACATTTAAACTTTTATTTGTAGGGAAAAAATCAAGTTCTTGTTTTGAAGTATTGCCTCTGGATACTCCAAACGGACAAGAATAAGGTCTACAGTGTGTCTGAATTGAAATGTGTAAAGACATTTTAGAAGGAAACTCTGTTATACTCTGACTTTCGAAGGAAAAACTCATGCAAAGTGCCAGGCGTTCTCTTTAAGTCTGATATTTACTTTCTATATTCACTGTATATTTTAAATATTTTCTAAATCTTTAAAGTATCTTAAGTCTACTGACTCATATTTCAGTTTGTCGGTCTTGTTTTACTTGATTCATTAAAGTTGATTGAATAAGTAAGGAAATAATATGATGTTAACCTTTTCTTTAAAAAAAAATTTCTCTAACTTTTTACAGTATTATTATAATACTCGACTTGACCAACTGCCTTAACAGATAGTCCATACATGTATTTTTAAGTGACCTTCCTGGTGTTACAATCTGTTTTTGTCTGTCAACAATTGTCCTTTAACATTTAAACATTTTCAGATTATTCTCTGAAATGCCTTAACCATTATCAACCAATTTTGGTTTTTATCGGCATTTACTGGAAATAGCGAACAAAATCATAAATGTCATGGCCTCTGCCTATCTTGGGCTCGAGGGAAATGAGCAAAGCCATCAAGTGTGTAATCTTTAAAAATTGCAAATATATATTGCAATTACAGGGGTGGAAAACACACTATATATACAATTTTTTTTGTATAGAAAGTGATTACACATTCAAAGTATTTTTCTGGCACATTATCAACTTGTAGATTTCTTGACATGAAGTAAAAGTAACAAATGCCTGCTTAAGTTTAATGTGCGCAATAGGCCCGTCACCCAAATGTGAAATCCATAGCTCTTAGATTCAGACGCAAAGATGGGACAAATAGATCCTTAAGTGAATATAATATATCTTCAAATATTCATATGGATATAGTGCTGACAAACTTTTTATATGATTATAAGAAATGCTCAACCTTATACCAAAACTGTGAAGTTCATAACCTCCAGGTCCTCAGTATGAGATTAGTCTGTCAAATATTGAAAATAAATAATACACGTCGTATATTTCAATTTTTTTTTTCATTCAAAAACATAAGCTTATAATACCATGGTTTTACCTTTATTCAAAATTGTGAAATTCATGTCCCAGTAGTTTAGGCCTATAAGGTTGGGACAACGTTGTGTATTTATTAAAAATACTTTAATTTGAAAATACATTACACCTTTGAAAATTGTCTCAATTTCTTACAGACATCTAGAAGGATATTTAATTTTTAAGATTAATTTTTTGAAAATTTTATTTCTGAAGGAAATAAGTTGGCACAGAGATTGCTTAAATGTAATAGGAAGTCAATGAAATATATGTAGATATCGTACAGTATTCAAGCTGAAAAGTCCATTGAAATAATACAAATGTTGGAGCAGAGCAAACACGGACCTCTAAAACAACAGAGGTGAGATCAGGTGCTATGGAGGAGTGATCATCCCCTGCCGACCGGTCACACCTGCCTGACGTTTGCTCCTTGTCATGACCGGTAAATAACGGGAAAATCCATCGACAATTCAGTGTGTAAATACTGGACTTACAATTAGTATGAGACGCATCAGTAGATTGCATTTGCTGACAAGGTCAGTGTATCGATCATAGAACTAACGAAATGATGACTTTAAACGAGACTTCTGATATTCTTGTTTCATCAACTTTTTTGTAAATAACTACCTCGTGTTAGAAATTGTTCATAGGTAGAGAATTCTCTTGCGTTTCGAATCAACTGAGAGTTGTTAACCCTGTACACAGATGATGAAGGGTTTATTGCTGCATAAGTAAGGGAAGTTGAAGTCATCATGTTTTTCATAAAGCTTTGTTGTTAGATTACCATGAACTTTTTTCTAATAAGATATTTAAATATGTAGCAGATGTGTCAGACTCTCTGCACGTGGTATCGTTTATTTCAAGCTCACCGGAAATATCGCATCGACTTAAGAATTGAAATACTCAGTGTTAGTTGACACCACGTCGTCGTATACCTTAATGTCTAGTTGAAGGCCACAGTGCATAAAAGGAGAATTGTATCATTACTGATACAACTGATATATTACTGTATAGGAGTAAGGGAGCAATGGTAGGATAATGTGTGTAGGATTGGTGGCGGTAGCAGCTGAAATACAAGATTATAAGGTTGTGGAATAAGTGGTATAAATAGAAGGAAAAGCTGTAGGATTGTGTTTAGGATTAGAGATAGCAGCTGAAATATAAGATTGTAGAATAAGAGATAGTAAAACAGAGAAAATGTGTAGGATTGTGTTAAGGAATCGGAATTAAAGCTAATATATAAGATTGTAGAATTAAGGGTATTAATAGAAGGAAAAGGAGTTGGGTTATTTGAAGGATGGATAGTAACTAACTACAACATTGTAGAAATAATCGTAGTTTTAGGGGAAAAAAGGAGGATTTTTTAGAATGGGTAGGGATAGCAAAAATAGCTAAAATATTAAACTATAGAATAGGTGACATTAATAGGAAAAGAAGGATAATAATTATAAAATGGGTAACCAAAATAGCTAAACTATAAGAATGTAGAATTAATAAGAGTTATAGGAGTAGTAGGGGAAATTAATGCGAAGCAGGAGAGTAAGGAAAAGAAAAACATGTTAAGTGTAGTTAGGAAAAGCAGTAAAAACGTGAAGAGAATGTGTGCAATATTTCTAAATGGAAAACAGTACAAATAAAGCAATTGTGTTGAATATTTTTGAGTATTTAATTCTTGGAAGTTTTTTTTAAATTAGTAAATCAATTTTCAGTTAATTCAAAAAAGGATAATGCAGAAAATATGAGTTGTCATATTGAAATCAAAATCCGTTTAGTGTAAGTAAAAGATATTAATTACTAGTAATAATGGCTCAATAAAGTATTAAGCATGTCAAATTTTGATCCAGAGTCTTATCTCTACGTTGTTCATTACCTAAATGGTGGACTTTGTCATACTGTGTTCCAGTTTGTGCATTTATCATCCAGAAAAGTTTATGTTTCGTAACAGCACTTAAAGTTCCCCAAGAAACACGCGATATGTTCTACTTTTGGAAAAAAGTCAATGACCTGAGGTAATTTTTAGAAATAGATCATTATGCAAATAAAATTAACTTCATTACATTTTAAACGCACGAACTCTTGTTAAACTAGTAGAATGAGATGTAACAAAATGAAAAGATTTATGTACTGTCAGCATTTATTGGATTGCATTTGACTATATACACTTATATGCTTCTTGTAAAATGGTCCAAATGCTGAAGATGATACCTGTACAAAGTTTAATTAAGGCCAAATATTTCTCTTGTAATTTGCAGTCCATTTGTGCACTGTATTTAAGAACCTTGATCTATTTGGAAGTCAATCTTTTAAATCATTACAGTCATGTTTTAAAATAAAAATAAATATATGCCTTGTATTTGTAGTTACATGTATGCGAGTTTTCCCTTCCACCTAAATTTTTAAAAAGAAAAAAACTTTTTTAAGGAGGCTGGGGGGTCAACAAATTAACCACAAGATTTAACTTAATTTTTAGATATGATATCTTAAGGTGTATCATTTGGCAAAGAAAAATTTCATACATTTTAGTTTTAAAATTTGATCATTTTTGTATATCTTTATGTGGAGCTCTTCTTCTAAAGGAGATCAAAATAGTCTGAAAATGGCCAAACCACCCAGCCCTTTTAAAGAGCTTGCTGATTTCATAATAATGAAAACTTCGACAGACGAACAAAGAGCCAGAGCACAAGGACTATCCAGCCCAACCCCACTAAATATCATCCGAATATCTTTGCACCATTTAACACATTAAATCAAATTTTACATATATACAGATTTCAACAATTTACTTCGAACTGACTTGTTGTCTTGTAGCATGGTGGTATTATAATCCTCAATTTTGACCGTAGCGTATGATCTCTTTGATTTATTAGATTTTATTTCCTCTTTGTCTGAC